AAAAAAAAAAAAAAAAAAAAAAAAAAAAAAAAAAAATATCTGCAAGATATATACAAAACAAAATTCAGCAACTTACTGTCATACGGTGACAACGCTCACTGAATTTCTGCTTATTCAAAAGAATTGTTGTCGCCCTATGGTGTGTTCTTCCTTATTTAAATCCAAAACGACCATAAAGTAAAAAGTGCAAACCATGCTGAGATTGTCAAGGCTTGTTTTGGCCTGACTTACCGTAGCCGCAGACTAACAGCTGGGTATCGCCCGCCTCCAAATATGGGCATATTAGAACCGACCAACATATGAATATCTTCAAATGTCCACAGGATATTCCGAACAAAGTCATTTTTTAGACCCTTCAAAAAAACGAAACAAAATTAAGTCATTAACAAGCAGGCCAATGTGATGCAAAAATGAGGAGCTATAGAACCCAGGACATGTTTAGCAAATACTGCATTTTTATTATATTTATGTCACACATAAAATGTCTTTTTACTGTCTATTCTTAATACAGGTGAAACTCGAATAATTAGAATATCGTGCAAAGTTCATTTATTTCACTAATGCAACTTAAAAGGTGAAACTAATATATGAGATAGACTCATTACATGCAAAGCAAGATAATTCAAGCCGTGATTTGTCATCATTGTGATGATTATGGCTTACAGCTCATGAAAACCCCAAGAACCCCAAATCCACAACCTCAAAAAAGTTGATTATTACATGCAATCAATAAAACAATGATTGTACATAGAACAATATCGGACCTCTGAAAAGTACAAGCATGCATATGTACTCAGTACTTGGTTTGGGCTCCTTTTGCAGCACTTACTGCAATTACTTTTGCACGATATTCTAATTATTCGAGTTTCACTTGTATATGTTGCACACAAGCATACAAAAGGTCCTTTTAGTGTCTGTCTTCCAGCTTAGCACAATCCTGTTCAGAGGATAGAAGGGCACATCCCTTCATGAAGCATTCACTGAACACTAAAGATCTGAGATTTGTTAGGCTGCAGTTCATGGAAGTCAAAACATGCCTAAAATAAACCAAAATACTTTATCTCTTCTCCAAGGACGGCATGCATGTAAACTCACCACTAATATATAACCAGGATACATTTTAGGAGAAAAAAAAAAACATTAAAAAAAAAGGTTTCTCACTCTAACATACATACTGTATGTGGATACATTCAAGGAACCTTGCATTATGATCATTTAAAAGAAAATATGAAAAAAGCATTTTCCGTTAAGAGTCCAGTGAGGAACCAGTTGTAAAAAATTGACATGTAACAAAATAACTGATTTGGAAACATTCTCCAATTCAGCTCACTTTCCAGTTCAGCTATGTTGTCCTAGATTGTTCACTTCTCCTGCCTTCTCCAAACTCTTCACCCTTTTGTAAATAGACCTGTTAGTGTCCTCGAAAGGATGGCCACAGTAACACTTCTCTTCCACATTATAAAAGCATTAACATTTCAAGTCTCTGAGAAGCTCCAAACAAAATTCCCACCATTGCTGCCTGTGATCTTGATTAGGGATGCACCGATACCAGTCAAATCAGCATCGAGCCTGCCAAACAGCACAGAGTTGGATTCCCAGTATATCAGGAACCCAGGTGGCGAGTTATTACCTGCTGCCCGGTTTTTCCTGATTGGCCCGGAAGCCAGTTCCACGTTCCCTCGCGGCACTGCCGCTCAGAGGAAATCTCTCTGGGGAAGTTCCGGTATCGAGGGCAAGTATCGGAGCATTTAGGCAAGTACGAGTACTTGCCCAAATACTTGGTATCAGCACCTATACTAGTATCGGTATATCCCTAATCTTAAATCATCAGATCCTATTGTGCGGGAGAGCTGCCAGTGTTCTACTTCCATCAGGAGCAAATAAGAGCAAGTTTTGGGTGGTCAAGGACAGACTGCCACATCCACTGTGAGAGGCACCTTCAGTTGCACATGACTCCTCTGGTACAGTATGAAGGACTATTGCACAAATATACTGTATAAAATGTACGAGAGCGAGTCATTTACTTTAAAAGTTGCTGGAGATACAAAATGTCACGTTAATACAGCGACTCCCTGTACACAGTCCACTGGATGACAACAGGCTCAAGCTATGCCGTCAGTGAAAAGGATGAATCTCACCTGATTGGATGCCCCCCCTTCTTCCGAGACAGAAGGCAACGTCTCAAATGGGGTCGGCCAAGTTACATTCTCTCTTCCTGTGGATTCAGCGAGGTTCTGAGCTTCTCTTGGCTCAGGAGGGTTGGTGGGTACTGGCTCAGCTGGATCATCACCATTAATACTGCAAAAAGCAGAACAGTCATGAGAACGCAGATATTATTGCTTGTGATTTAAAATGAACCTATCCAGTCCAGTGTAAAATGATCACTAAAAAGGCAAAAAAAAAAAAAAATGTGACCACCACCTGTGATGACTTTAAATCAGTTTCTGTGTGTCTAGATCCCATGACCAAGCTCAATACAGCAACTTGACCTCTGATCATGTCAGTACCTAGCCCTTTAAGATAAAGGAGTAGTACATAACATTTACTGCACCAAGAAGGAAGCACAGCCCACCAATACAGATAATCTTAGTAGCAGTGAAAACATTACCTGTAATAGAGGAATTTGGAGAGGATGGCTTTCTGGTACCAGTGTTCCTTACTCTTCTTCTTTCTCTGCCACTTCTGATCCATTAGCCTCTGATAAAATTCCTTCAGCCATGTCCAGTCCCCTGTCTGCAAAACAAGTTACATCGGTTACTGTTCTAGTTCCCCATTTCTTTCAAATGTGAAGACTTAGTCTGCTGAGTCAACAGAAATATGCAAGCCCTTACAAGATGGCAACATTCCGAGTTGAATGTGGTGACAGGTAAGTCGCCAGGATCGCTTCTGTTGTAAAGCCGACAGTCGGCTCTACAAGTTTAAACAGAGTCCCGGCGGCAAAAGTCGCCGGGAGTCTGTTTAAACAGCCCCGATGCTGGCGACGTACACTGTACGTCGTCAGTCACGAAGGGGTTAAACTACCATTAAATAAATATTTGGGTCTTTTGCATATTAGGATAATTTTATTTAATATTGTAAAAAGTCCATTTACCCACCAATTTAATGTCTTTCAAAACAATTACTTTTAAGGCACGCCAAGTATCAAGGTTGCCAGTGTGCTTATTTCAGCTCTCGACTGAACTTTCAAACCATCAAACGGCTGGTGTCATAGCTGTTCACATGTGCAGCACCAAGGAAACTGCCCATTGCCTGACAAAGAGGTTTGCCTTGAAACGCGTTGAGGCGCAGTAAGCACAACATCACAGCACAAATAGGACACCGATCCTCCACCAAGGCTGCATGACACCCAATCCCCATCAATATCAAGTGAGTTATTTTTAGAATACATCCTACACCCAATTGTGCTCTTGTTTGCATTGTTTGAAGCTTGTTGCAGAGGTATCCTCCGCCTTGTTCCTCAGAGCGGCTCACTAACCAATTCATTCAACACACCACCCTTCTCCTTTTGAGAGCGCTGAACATACATCTTTACATACATCTCAAGGAAACTGCAAATCAAATAAGAGGCAAACATAGCATCTTACTTGGCAGTAAGGGCCCTTCACACCAGGTCGGTTAGGCTGTGCGGATTTGGCTGAGCGGATCCGCTGATATGAACGATCCAATACATTTCTATGGGGACCATTCATGCGACCGCGTGGCTCAGTGCGATCCAAACCGCTCTACCTCCGCCACCACACCCCCCCACCCCCGCAAATTGCTCCAAGTCTTTTTTGCCACGCTGATCAGTGCGGTTTCGATACAGCTGTCAATGGAAATGCGCTGATCAGTGCGGTTTTGGGTGTTTTTAATTGCGTTTCAGCACTGAAACGCAGTTAAAAACTCCACAAACCGCCATTTTGAAATCAGCACGAAACCCTGGTGTGAATGGGCTCTAAAGGACATGAGGGTGTAGTTCCACTTTAAACTACAGCATAAAACTGCCTTCAGTGCTGAACTAAGGGAGACAGGAAGATAACTAAAGTTGCCTCAGCTTTTAAAGTGGCTCACTTAGATGCAATGAGAATTCCAAAAAAGCAATTATCTGTAGTCACTAGATTTCCTACAGTTACCTCAGTGATCGGTGGGTTACTACAATACAAACCATCACTGGCCTGCTGAAAAAGATATAAAGATACAAGACAGGCCCCTACAGATCATATACCCTCTTAATGAAAAAAAAAGAAATGGAAAAGAAAAACTACCTGCCTGCATGGCCCACTAACCAACCAGTTACTGACATTTTTAGACACTTATCTTATACATATTATTGGTGGCAGAAATATCCATCACATAGTTACATTCTTAGGGATACTGGCATTCCTGGATATTACGGTCCCTCAAGAAATTGTCCAAACGTTTCTTGAACGAATCTACACTCTTGGCTGAAATCACTGCCGATGGCAGTGAGTTCCAGCCCTTAACCGCTCTTACTGTAAAGAACCCTCTTCGCCCCTTGTGCTGGAATTTTTTCTCCACCAGCCTCTAGTCTTTGTAATGGAGTTAATCTCAAACAGTTTGTTGCCAATGTTGCTGTCACCATTGAACATCTTGTACATGAAAATCATATACCCCCCTTAATCTCCTTAATTCCAGCGTCAACATGTTTAAGGTCAGAAGCCTTGTCTCATAGCTCTGGTCCTCCATTCCCCTAATTAGTTTTTTCCGCTGGACTCTCTCCAGTTCAAGGACATCCCTCCTCAGTACCGGCAACCAAAACTGGACCGCGTACTCCAGATGTGGCCGAACCAACGATCTATATAGAGGCACAATTATAGACTTGTCCCTGCAATACATCCCCTTCTTAATACAGGACAAGACCCTGCTAGCTTTGTTTACCGCAGCTTGGCACTGCAAGCTACCATTCAGTTTGTGATCTACAATGACCCCCAAATGTTTTTCTATTTCTGACTTCCCCAGCGGCATACCCATAATTGTATAACCCATTTGTTTATTTTTATGTCCAAAGTACATTACTTTGCATTTATCGACATTAAACCTCATCTGCCACATTAATGCCCACTCCCCTATTTTATCCAGGTCCTCCTGCAATGTTATATTGTCACGATCCGTTTCTAGTACCCTCCCTATTTTTGTATCGTCTGCAAACACGGAAACATGGCTATTTATTCCCTCCCCGATGTCATTAATGAATAGGTTGAACAGTATCGGACCCAGCACAGATCCTTGAGGCACATCGCTCATTACACTAGCCCAGTCCGAAAAGGTGCCATTTACAGATACCCTCTGGACACGTTCCCGTAGCCAGTTCTCTATCCACGTACACATCACCTCATCTATGCCCATAGCCCTCAGCTTGTGAAGTAAGCGCTTGTGTGGTACCGTATCAAATGCCTTTGAGAAATCTAGGCATACCACATCTACCGGCTTACCTCCAACCATATCTCTGCTTACCCCCTCATAAAAAGTCCTGGAACTAAAGCATGGAAATCACCGGTGGCTGATAATTAACGCACAAAAAAAAATGGTGTTCCATGAATAACTGGCAAGCATTATACAGGACAAACGGGAGTGGTTAGAGAGTCTGGAATCCATTGTACTGTATACAGCAGGGGTGGACACATTATGAAAATTCAGGAGCCAATCTGTCCAATCCAGGAGCCTGCAGGATTTCGTTTTTTGGAGATAGTTCCACTGACAACAAATAGAGAAAACCCTAAAAAGCTGGGCGCCAACTGTCATTTATTAGGCACACTGCCTACCTGGGATTTGTCCAGCCCTGGATTAAAATAAACAATACTGATAAGCAAGCCAGCAAAGGTAATATAATAAAAAGGGTGCTACGGTCCCTCACCTGAGAAGACCTCATGAAAAGCTCCTGAATGTCCAACTCATCCAGAAGTAGGGTGCGCCCAATGCGGTGAACGGCCATGCTGACATGAGACTTGCTGTATGGAATCTTTAAGAGTTTTTTTATGTTCTGTGAGACAATGAAAAACATTATAGCATCAGTGGAAACAGAAACATATATCATCCAACAATATTAAAATTATCCAAAATGATGTACCACTACCTATGCCAATCAGCCAGATTTCACAAGTCTATATAGTTAAAGCAGGGGTGGACAAATTAATATGGAATTCAGGGACCAATGTGTCCAATCTCAGAGCCAGTAGGATATATTTTAGAAACCGGCTCCATTGACAACTAGAACACCTCCGAAGTAAGCCATTAGCTGGAATTTTTAGGAAGCACTGGCTACCTTCCACTTTTTGGTAAGTGTTTGGGGATGTTGTAGCATCGCTGTGCTCCTATAGACAAAAAGCCAGCTACATAAAAGGCATTTCCTGACAAGTCTGGTGTGGATGCATTAGAGTGGCCTGCAAAGAAGCGCAGTCAAGGTAAGTCAGGGGGGCTTTGCAGAGACAGTCACTTCTCCCTTCATGGGCAAGGTGAAGGAGCCTTTTTTTTTATATAAATTTCTGGAGTTAAAGAAATAATGATAATTAAATTAATTTTAAAAATACCTCCGAATCAGACACCACATCGACCTCCTTCCCCACAGAGTCTATAAAATCATAGGCCATGCCAAAGCTGTAAGAAAATGAAACACACACAATTAGATACAAAAGCGCAAAAAAAGACAGCAGCTGGCAAACTAATAATAAAATGCTTGATGGCCTCTAAACTTCCAAATAGACAAATTATTAAAAATTGAAATCTAAATAATAGTTTTTTTTACTATGTAATTTACTAAGGTTCTCATATACCAAAAGCTGAATATCAGCTACAATTAGCACAGCAAGTGAACAGTGTACAATACATATTTTGAGAGGAAACCTGTAGTATAAGAAAAATAGGAGGACGGCATTGTGGATCCCCTAAAAATGCTATTTGCTTTCTTCAATGAACACTTTGTGTCACTGATATAGAACAAGCATGCAGAAACTAATGTCAGAGTGACATAAGAACTCCTGATCTTCATGCTTGTATCAGGTCACGGACTCGAAATACTGAGGCTATTGGAACAGCATGAGAGCAAGAAGGAGAGGTCAGCAATGGTGGCATCCATATGCTCCCAGTAGAGGTTTCCTTTAAACCATCCAGTAGATAAAGCAGAATTCCATGTGTTCAAACTATCTCAGTAACTGCAGCACCCCAGCTAAAACTGTACATGGCCTTTGGGGTTTCTGTCTTTGCCCAACACCTTACAAAGGGGAACCTCACAATAAGCAGTTTGGGCCTCATTCACCAAAGCTTCTGTTTTAAAACCTGCAATTCCTCATAGAAACCAATCAGATTAAAACTTTTACATTTCAGCTATCGTTTTCTGCAGATGGTTTCATTTGGGTTGCTATGGGCAGCACATAAGTTAACCTTAAATAAAAATAAAAAGTACATCCTAACTTATACTCAGCTAGGGGATACTAACAAAGAAACTATGTAGTTTGGATGTAACTGCATAGTTATTAATATTTTAAAAAGCCACTGCATATGCCGTGCAGGAATTGCCAAAGTGCATCTCACTCCGGTCTTATAAATGTTTATTAGATCTTGGCTTATTTCCCAGGCTTAATGGAGAGCTATGGGGTTAGGGCTTTTCCCCATAGTTCTCCGAAGGGTAATGGAAGGACACAAACTAGCGTCCTCCCGTTACCCTAAGCTCAGTATACCGCCAGCCACAGCCCATGGTATACTGAGACACTGCAGCTGAAATGGATCCCGACAATTATGTCTGGATCCGCCCAGCTGTGTGAGTGAAAGCTGGCTCTGCCTATCTAGAGGCAGAGCCAGCTGTAACCGCCCCCTCCCCCGTCCGTTCCGCCAGTCAGCGCTGGAGGATCGAATCCAGTCCCTCCCCTGTCACGGCTCTCTGCCGTGACAGGATCGAGAAGTGAGCGAATGCCGGTATGTGTTCGCTCACTTCCCGATCTACTGAGCCGACCTGTGACAGTCTCATTGTCACAGGTCAGCTAGAACTATGAGGATGAGTGAAAAGCACCCACCTCATAGTTCTCCGTTATCTTACTTCTCTGGTGAGAGCCAAACACGTGTTTGTATTCTGGAGCAGACAGCATTATTGTGAAAGACTGTGAAGGGGGATTTATCAAAACTGGAGCAGACAAAATCTGGAGCAACTGTGCATTGCAACCAATCAGCTTCTCTCTTTAATTTTCAAACCTTAACTAAACAAACTGAAGAGAGAAGCTAATTGGTTGCCCTGGGCAACTGCTCCAGATTTTGTATGCTCTAGTTTTGATAAATTCCCTCCTGTGTATATTAAAAGGAAATGTGTACTGAAAAAAAAACAGTTGTCTGCAATTTCCGACCTGCAGATTTGAAAATACTTACTGCCCAAATGTCTCTGACTTTAAGGCCGGGTACACACTTACATGCCGTGTTAGAATACAAACGAAAAATACATTGTGTTAGGGCAGCCTGTTCATTTTAAAGGGCACCCTGACACACCAAAACAGGTGCATGCAGCATTTTCGGCAGTACAGAGCACAGACCTGCAACAAGCATGAACTCCTGGTCTGCATATTTTTTCCAGGTCAGTTACTCAGAAAATACTGAAGAAGATTGGACAGCCAGGGAACAAGGAATATTAGCAGAGAGAAATAGCAATGAATGTATTTTTCGCTGCACAGCTTAAAATGATTGTCACTTGCTCAAAACTGATTTTAAAATGCCATACCTTGAAAAGAGGCATAGGATTACTTACACACGACTGCCTGCACCCCAAACACCATTCAGCTGCAGAGAAATACCAGTTAGTCTCATTTAAAACCAAATATATGGGAATATTCAGGATAGTGGGAATATTGATGTCCTTTGTCCCCCAATGCTCTCGACATCACTATAGGACACAATAGTAACAGGAACCAGCGATGTGGGAGGTACAGAAGTCAGAGGAGGAGAAACTCAGAAGTTTCAGTTTTGAAAGATTTCATCTAGGGATTTCTCTGCTGCCGTACAGTGTTTTGGAGGTGCAGGCAGTAGACGAGGTAAGTATTCCTATGATTCTTTAAAAGGTATGGCATTTAAAAGGTAAACTTTGAGTAAGAAAAAGGTCTTGGTGATGGACGCCGGCAGAGAGAGGAGGGGACAGTCACCTGGTGGGATAAGGTATGCAACCGGGTACCCTCCTCTCTAGAAATCCTCTACTACTGTACATCAGGAGTTTGATGGGCATACCCCACCCATTCCTAATTCTAAATACATTGATGGTATCCTCAGGGGGCAGGGCCTGGGCAGTTCCACAGAGACCATGGACAAGGAATGAAAAAATAGGTTTAGGCAAAATGGCAGCCACTGAACATCAGCTGTAAGTGCTACATCATATGCGACTGATTTGTATCACACCGTTTGCAGCATAACCATGCCCGAGTCTAGGTCCACTTTATAACTATATAGATGCAGAGGGATACATAAACAGGGCAGTTGCCCATGACAACCGATCAGCTTCTATCATTTCCAAAGCTGATTGAAAGACAGAAGCTGATGGATATTATGGGCAACTGCTCCAGTTTTGATAAACTCCGCCCATGGTGTGTTTCCGTTCCTCCCACACAATCACCAATCAAAATACAAGATCCCACCTTGAGAATGGCTTGCTCTTTGTGCTGCTTCCAAGGCTAGTAGGCCCGAGCTTGGCATTTTCCCGCAGCCAATTAGCCGGGGGTAACTTTAAGTCTGTCTTCTCCTGAAGCCGGGCGAACGCTGTGGCTGGTGGGGCGGAGGAATATTTCACTATAGCGCGACTCTTCACCTCATTTCCCCCAAGGGAGGGCAAGGAATCCTAAATGAAAACAAAGATATAGTTTCAACCATAGCGTGAAGTAAAAGTGGAGATACGTTGGGGCTCATACACAAAATGTAGAATAAAAAAAGAAAAAA